ATATGAAGTGCGCAGTTTGCGTACGGATGCGTATGATAAAAAATGTCCGTACGCAGCTCATACGCAAGTCTATTCGCAGAAGTGTGACAGGGGCATTACTCACTCGCACGTTGTAAGTGCGTGCACCTCCTGTTAACTTCATCATCACTAGCCGCCCTGGTGTCTTCCGCGGCCCGTTTCTTTGGGTCTTGTCTGGTAGTCTTCTTCTGAGCCTTCCTGGGCATCTTGGAGACGAGTTGGCAGTCGCCCGTCAAGTTGTCTTTATATACTGTAGAGATCTGGTGCGTTGCACGTGCGTTGCACGTGCGGAGCACCTGGTATGGTGCACGTGTGTTCTGCGTGGTCATTGAGCAGGTCAACTGGGAAGTGAGGAGTAAGCACGGATGACGCAAGCACCGTGCGTGGCACGCACGTGCTTCGTGCGCTGTCCGTACAGCAATTGCACGTGAGAATAGTGAAGTTAGACTCACGGAGTCCGTACGTTGCACGCTCATAGGCTGTACGGGGCACGCGCGTCGCACGTACTCGCACGCACGGGTGGTAAATCCGCAGACCGCACGTAGAAAAAGTATTACATGCACTTAAAGTTCTACGGCGTGTCTGCGTGCTCCCAAATCCGTAGGATTCCGTACGGAGGTGGTACTCACCACGCACGGATGCCGTACGATTGCCCACGTTTTTGCACGTAGACAGCACGCAGAAGCACGTACGGCGAGTTGTGACCGTCGCTTTAAGTGCATGTAAAACTTTTTCTGCGTGCAGTCTACGGATTCACCACCCGTACGTGCGAGTACAGGCGACGCGCGTGCCCCGTACATACCGTACGGAGGAAGCACGTGTGAGTACGGCCTCCTTACGATAAAGTTGCAATCGCACAGAGATCGTACGTTGTAAGCACGTACAACTCACGTACCACTTGCGCAACGTACGATGCACGCAACCGCTCACGGCCAGACGTAACGTGCAGACCACACTCTTACACCTTGCGAAACCGTGCGAGTGACGTGTGTCGACGCCACTCCTTCCCCACGTTTTCAGAAAAAACGTAGCAGACGTAGCCTCCCAGAAAACGTACGGACAAAAAGCACGTACGGCGGGTTGTGACCAAGGCTTAACGCGAGATGAACCGAGAAGCGAAGCCGCATTGTAGCTACATGTAAATGCTTCATGCCTCACCTCGGTTGAGTATGACTACTTTACTGCAGCTCCTCTTTTTGTTTATCTTTTAATTTTGTTGTTGTCTTAGTGGGGAATCCGAGCGCCAGAGGGACAATTCACCTGGAAAGGATAAAAAGAAATGCAAACCCAGGTACATGTATATAAATTTCCTCCATGATATATTGCAAGGTATAGCTCATATGTTTCCACTTTCATACGGAAAGAAATAAAACCAAGTCATGACCTGAGATAGCTCACATAATTCAAATCTGAATGGAATAAGCAGGGTTCTTTAATGCATAAACTTTTAGAACGTTTCTAATACAGATTTAAACGTATTATTAACAGAATATAGGACGAATGTCACTTCGTTATAGAATGTAGATTATATAGTAAAGAGAGAAATGATCTGTATAGGCTTGTACAAAACCTATGTCCTTACTTCATACACTTGAGCACTGTAGAAAAATTCATATTTCTAATGCATAACAATGCCTGCAGGTAATAAGTGACAAGTGTGAAATATGGCACACAGCTGTCAAAAGATGCCGTGTTGTGCATTATGGTGACTTTTCCCTGTTTCAGACCACTAATGTATTTACTATTAAAATGTGCAGCATTTGGAACCGTAAAAAATGTAATGACGACCAAGACAACAAAGATGGCGCCCAAAAGAAGTAAGTTCACATCGCAATAATTGCATTTGCTTGTCCCAGCTTTTACAATTCCACAGGCATATCTTAACCTCACCTCTTCTCACCGGTCCCATGGCAGATCATCAAAATAAATGTTATGTAACTTGCACACATTAAAGGGGTGACTTAGGTCTAAAGAAAAGGGGTTACCACATTAAAGGGGTGACTTCCAGTTTGATCCCATTTTGCACAAATGTCTCAAATTATATAATGCGAAGCACTGATTAAGTATATACTACATACATTGAGGGGCTCTGGTAATTATTTGTAACATATTCCTTTGTGTTTATTCGAACTGACAGATCCCTTTGGGGCAGACGCTGATGAACACAACAGCGAATGAGGACTGCCGTCGACAAACTCTGCATTTGACAAATAAGATTGTATAGTATTGGCTTTTAGGAAACACGATACATTTGAGAAAATGAAAGGTTTTAGTGCCTTTCAACACTATGATAGCACGCATTGCTTTGCAGAATATAAATGATAACATCTGCACGCCCCAGCTATGTGCGTAAATGGCCGTATATGGAAGAATTAGAACCTGCGTGTACTGTAATTCCTGATTTTTTTTCACAGTACTGTTATGTTTACTGTTTTCACTGTCACTTCTGTACCGTGAACTTATCACTACAGTTAACAAAATGATTCCTGGACTTTATTTTTCCTGCACCTGTCACCACCGTGAATATATAGTTCCATGAATTTGTCCATTTTTCTCAGACCGTGAAATTTTGCTACCGTGAACATAAAGTGAGTTACAGTATTACAAAGACATACAGCGCTACTTTCATGCAAATAGACCAGGATGGTAATGACGTTTCCAATTTCTCTCTCCGAAATGATTAGAAAAATTGTGCAGAATGGAGAAATAACATCACTTAAGCTAACCGAGACGTACACATGCATATCAAAACCCGTTTTTTAAAGCAATTTTCACAAACCAGCAACTAATTATGTATAAGAAGCAGATGAGATAGTAGAATAGGCGCAAATAAGAATAAAAAGAAATTAACACAATTTGGCGTATTATGATTCTGTGCCTGACTGGCTTGTTTATGATTTCGCCCGTGCAAATGCATTTTCATTATAGACATTATATTTCCCTGAACCTAACTTTGAATTATAAGTTGTTATTATGGTGGTATCAATGTCCTGTTTCAAATATTTTGTTTCGCCGTTTACATCTACATGACTGGTGCAATGGCCAAGTGGGTAGAGTGTTCGTCTAACATTGAATAGGTCTTGATTTTTTTTATTCCAACATTTAGTCACCAGACGTGGTGACGACACACTCAAGTTTTTTCAACTTATTAATGCCGCCATCAACACAGGGGACAAATACATGACAGGACAATACTCATTTACACCTGAGCTAAGTGAGGAAAGTCGTGTTAAGTGCCTTTCCGCAAGGGCACAAGATCGGTGGCATGTCAGGACTCGAACCCGGGACTCTTGGTACCGAGTCGCGCACTCTGCCGCTACGCCACACGACAGGTTTTGAGTTTGATCCCCGGCCGAGCCATACCAAAGACTTGGCCACAAAAATGGTACATACTCCTTAGCAGTCATCATTTGAAAAAGAGAATGTGAGTTAATATACACACCCCAATACTAGCGGACTATCCCCCTGCTGTAGTGATAGCACTACTGTGTTGTCCAAAGCTTTGGGCGCCGCCCTATGGATCAACCTTAACTTGACATCTACATGTACATGTGCTTAGATGTATCATAGGATATGGTATGTATCATTTATACAGTGATCATAGCCTCCTTCGCAGCCTTGTTGGGCGTCGGTGTTATTTTTTTCTATGAGCGACGCGAGTAATATGCCGCCGCGAGGGACGATTTGCTGCCGAGGGAGTTTTTGCCTAGTCTCCACCAGACTTCTTTTGCGGGCGCGAATCCTTCTCTCCGCGGCAAAACCTCCCTCGGCAGCAAATCGTCCCTCGCGGCGGCATATTACTCGCGTCGCTCAGAGAAAAAAAATAACGCAGACGCCCAACAAGACTGCGAGGCTACAGTTATCATACCGTTACTGCTACAGTGAATACTGCACCACACGGCAGCATCAGCACTGTGCTGATGTGGTCGTTCCACAGGTTGTGCGTGGGAGAATTTTCCTGACCGCATGCAAACGCGTTTAGCCTCCAGCTATCCTGTTACTGGGTAATTACTGCCGATCCTGCTCTAATTGGGTTCCACTATCTAACACATTCTGCGAAACGGTTTTTGATTATGTATTCTGTACATGTATCTTATAACATGTACCTTATGCCGGGGGCATAACGGTCGCTATAGCTACGGATACACAACTCGGTCGGCCCCCTTACAACCCTTTCTTCATATTTCAAAGTTATTCAGTCATTACATCAGGGCAACAGGGATTAATACACGGATGCATAAACTATATCTATCAACCGACTACATACGAAAAAAAAATAGAAAACGCAGGGTTTTCATCGTAGGCACGCGTACAAAAACGTGGCCTGCTTCTTTGAATTCGAAATGCATTAGGCCATGTTGATTTGATTATATGGATGACATCCACATGAATTTTCGTCCGTTTCCAAAAAAAAACAGTTTTCGGCCATACAGTAAATCGTACAAAATGAGCGAATATATGTCGTATGTTGCGAAAAAATATTGGAAAACGATATTAATGTCATAAAATACCGAACTCAAATCAGAAGATGTGAAGAAATGAAAATGAAGAGTCCATTATTATTCACCATACCAAACTCTGAGTGTTTAGTCATTTATTCAACCTTCAAATGTAGATTTCATAATGAAGGAAACTTTTTTTGCCAAACTTTTCATTAGCACGCTCGCGTCAGTTTTGGGGTTCCCAGAGGATGTCATCCATATAATGAAATCACATGGCCTTACCTGCAATTATAGCTTATACTTCAATGGATGGAAATAAGCTACTTATCTGATTTGGGGGGATTGAAATGCAAATTTACCACAGCATTCCAGTATTCCTGCTGATAATTAGATTATAGCCATCCATTGAAATATATGCTAAAACTGCAGTATATTGTACAATGGGTGACTGTGGTTTTCTTGTTCTCTATCTACTAGTCTTCTCGCCTTGCTGTAAGAAGACCACTTTTTAAGACGTCCGCTTTGCTTGTTTCCCATGGATGGTCGTCTTAGACAGGTTTTGTATCAAAGTTAAGGTTCCTCTTTAAACAGATGTATTCTTGGTGATGGTATCCGACTAATTGATTGACTTCTGTAATTAAGAGCAAGATTGTTTGGCGTGATAACATTACTGGGTTCCTTGGATAGCAATGAAGTCATGACAAATATACGGAGCAATATTGTGCACAATTCGCTAATGCAAATATCCTACTGATAAATAAATAGATAGGAATATTAGACGGTTTTTATACGTTGAAAAGTGTACAAAACTGACAGGTTTTGAAGGTTTTTATCTAGAAAAGATGTTTTTGTGGTGGTCGAATTCCAGGTGCAGTTATATTGAAATGAAATGAAATGAAATACCTTTATTGTACATTCATGCCACGACGGGCTAGGTACAGGTCAAGATATAACAGACACATAACAAACGTATATATAAAATTGGAGACAAAAGATGCACTACTTGACTTACATACATACATAAAGAAAAAACAAGGGTACTATACTAGCTATAGGCTAATACAAAGTGTTCTAGTTACTGAGCTAATATAGAGAGGTCAACTTCTTCTCGCTTTTTTGTACAATGGAAATGTGGGAGCAGATAATGTTTGTGATACAGGGTTTGTCTAGACACATCAAAAATATAAATTTATCATTTGCAGGTGTTCAAAGTATGGGAACTTCTCTTTGATATGATTAAAAAGGACACAGATCTTTCATTTGAATATAAAGTACAGTCTAAAGTAAAGTGTTGTTCATCTTCTATTCTATTCATGTTACAGTATTGACAGAGTCTATTCTGGAGAGGAATATTTATCACACTGTCGGCTGGAAACTCCATAAGTTAAAGAGCTGTGAGAGAAGCGATACTATTCAACAAATTGATTGGAAAGCGTAGTTAAGTACGTTTGCTCTTCGTGACAACATTAAGGGGTTCCCCGGAGCTCTACTACACGGGGGAGGCTGTCACATCATTGGTTTACGTTTTTCGCTTCTGATTTTTCCCAATTACAGCTTGCAGCGGGCGGCGTAAACTAGTGCGAACTGGTGTAAACTAGTTACTGTTGAGGATTCAATAAATGTCAAAAGCCACATGGTCTCTGTTTGATAAGCAGTCACTGTGGTGTTAACGTGGAGGAGCTTTTGTTGGCATGAAAATACGCCCAAGCCAGAGGTCCAAAATAGCGCATTAGATGTAGTTTCTAGTATCGTTTTACCTTGTGCTCAAGGTCAAAATAACAAGACACAGAAGTCACTGATCACTGAATTTAACCACTGACTATATGTTTTTGCAGACAACTGTCAAATAATCTACAAAATGTACATGTCCACTGACCACATGCCCACCAGACCTGAAAAAGATGCTTCCCCAACCTTACACAATCAGCCGCACAACCCGCAGTAGTCTCTCCACTGGAAAACATGCCCTCACCGTGACGGTATCTAGAACTCATGCCACCGGCAGAACTTTCATACATACTGCAGTTAACATCTGGAACAGTCATCCAGACAACGTGGTGGGCTGGGTCACTGACAACAACCTCCAGTAATTCAAAACATGAGTACACCGGCATCTTCTTTCCACCACCAGGACTTCTGCATGTAGCTAGAACTTTGCAACTTTGCTGTAAACCAACGATTAGCCAGGGGTGTTACAACCCAGGCTATTGTTTACATTAGCACATGATAGAAAAAAATGTATCATAAAAGGACCTCAGTTGTTTACGCCGCTCGACTTTTATCAATTCCACACTCCACACTCTTAAGCCTCGGTCACAACCCGCCGTACGTGCTTTTTGTCCGTACGTTTTTGGGAGGCTACGTCTGCTATGTTTTTCT